CGACTAAGCCAGCCAGGCGCTCCAACAATAATATTTTTATGCTGCTTTTCAACCTTATATCATGAGCAACTCCCAGATCATTAGGAATTATTTGAAAATGGGATTTTTGATGGCTGTAGATTGTTCTTTCAGGTGGTAGTTCTCCTCCTGTTTAAACCACTCCCATATTGTTGTGGTTCGTTTCCGGCTTCTCTGATGATCCTCATAAGAGAAATATCTGAAGTGGAATGGTTGGGACAAAGAGAAAGGATATTTGCAAGGCTCTTGACATAATCAGTTGGCTCGGAACAAACCTCCGCTCTCTCAAACCCTCTCTTGGCTCACCTCGCCAGGTGCACCCACTGACCAGCCAGAGGCCCAGTTCTCTGGGGGCGCCTCTCATTCCTAACCCCTCTGACCTTTCAAACGCTCAGAAGCAGGTGGGAGGGTCACCTGGGAGATGGGACTGGAGGGACGTGGCCAACCCATGCCCAAATCTCGTCCTCTCTGATCTGGATTCCATCATCGGAATTATTCCTTGGGTGAAGGGCAGTGTGGCTCAAAGTTTGCTGGTTGTAAAATGGTTGTAAAATGTCTCCCAGTTGGAGACATTCCCCCTAAATCATGGCTACTAGGCTACCCTTCTCTGTCACTAGGTTAATAGCCAAGATTTGGGCCTCAGGGATTGGGGCACCTTACAGAGTCATGGATGTTTAAAATTTTATTGAAAACATCATTCTGGGAAAAAAGATGAAATATGACCATCTCTTTTTCATTCTTCCACATTGTTCTAGGTTAGTGAAGTAGTCTCTTCTTGTGAAATGGGAATAAACTTTAGTGAGCTTTCAGATCAGTATCTTTGAATGTATCCAGACGCCTCTTGGATAGATTTTCATTCTGCCTGTGAATGACCCCCTTAAAGCAGCAGCCCGCCGTCCCCTAGCAGAAGGCTGGATAGACGAGCCACGCCAGGAGCTCCGCAGAGGCCACGGAGGACAAGAGTCAGAGTGCTCTTCCAGCTCCACTGTGAACAATTTGCGGTTCCATCTAGGGAGATGCTAAGTGGATCAATTCTTTGAGGAAATACGTGTCAATTTCCAAGTTCCTCCTGCTCATCATCGAGGAAGGACGATTTTTATTAAAGAAGCCAGGGCTGCGTGGAGGAACACTTCTTCCTGGGCGCCGCACTCAGCCGCAGACTTGAGCGGCTGCGCCCAACAGCCCGATAACGGAGGGAACAAAGGCGGGATCGGGGTCCCCGGGAGACAGAGGGGCGCGGCGGTGTCCGCGCTCCAGAGCCGCGCTTCTCAAACTTCCGCGGACGTGACGGTCTCCCGCGGGCCTGCGGAGCGCCGCTCTCGCGCCGCCGAGACTCGGATGCCGGTGTGTGTGTGGGGGGGGGTAGTGGGGGGGGGGGCCGGGGGGGCCCGGAGGCCCGGCGCGCCCCACGGCCCGGGGGCCCGGCCCGGAAGGCGGGGGGGGGGGGGGGGGCAGGCAGCGGCGTCCCCGGGCGGCGGGACGGGCTCGGGCCCCGGGGCGAGCGGGAGCGCGCGAGCGGGCGGAGGGGCGGCGGCGTGGGGGAGCGCGGGGTCGGGGGGGCTGGGGCCAGCCGAGGGGAGCGGTCCCGGCGGGCGAGCCGGGGAGCCCGGCGTGGCTGGACCGAGGCGCGCGCAGGGGGGCGGCGGCTGAGGCTTCCCTGGGGACCGTCCCGCCGGCGGGGCCCGGGGCCTCCTGAGCCCTTCCTCCTCCCCGGCTGCCTGTGGCTGCAGAGCGGGGCTCGCCGCCTGGCCCACAGGACGAGACGGAGGCTTCAAGTGCATCCAGCCCCAGACCACGGGTCCAGCCACCGGGATCCTAATCTCCGGGGCTGTTCCTCACAGCGAGGTGGCCTTCGACAGCTCCCTTCTCCTCTCTGGCCTCAGTTTCTCCTGTGTAAAGCAACTGGCTTGGAGGGGCATGGTTTCTGAAGTCCCTTCTCGCTGTCCAGGGCTCTGACTGGCCACCTGGACCGTGCAAGTGGGTGAGGGGGCGATGGGGTCTGCAGGAGGGCGGAGAACAGGGCTTGAGGCTGGGCAGGGAGCTATGCAGTGGGGGAGGGAAGGAGGATGAGGCAGGAGGCTGGCCTCCTGGCCTCCAAAAGGGGAGGTCCCTGTGGGAATCCCCTCACCATCTGGGTGCCTGGTTTACAGTCACGTGTTTGCCGGGGGACGAGGGAAGGAACAGGAAGGAACGTGCTGACGTGACTGGAAAATCCAGCTGGACAGGAGACAGCTCCTGGCTGTCCCTCCTGCTGAGGCCGAAGCCAGGCCTGCCCCTGCCCCTGCACCACAGGCAGGCCCTGTGGGTCCAGGAGCCCCGTCTAGGGCTGCAGCTGCCACGGGGCTGGGAGCTCCTGAACACAGAGTCTGGGAGCCTTTAGCTTTGAGGCTTTGCACGTGCTCCCAAGACTGGGTGGAAATGACACTATTTTCAACTTAAATCCATTTTCCTGTAGATTTACTGAAGGAGTTTAGAGACACTAGTTCTTAATTTATAAGCTTGGCAGCAGCTTCCAACACATTAACCCAGAGGCCTTCATGGGCTCCCCAGCCCACCCCTACCCGGCTCTGCAAGAAGGGAAGCTCCTACGAAATGTCCAGATGGCTCAGAGAAGAATAGAACACAGTCTGGCTGCAAGTGGCAAAAATGCCCCTGGAAGGAGCTTAAAGATATATGTACAGGGGCGCCTGGGTGGCTCAGTCATTGGGCGTCTGCGTTTGGCTCAGGTCATGATCCCAGGGTCCTGGGATCGAGCCCTGTATCAGGCTCCTTGCTCGGCAGGAAGCCTGCTTCTCCCTCTCCCACTCCCCCTGCTTGTGATCCCGCTCTCTCTGTGTCTCTGTCAAAAAAAAAAAAAAAAGATATGTACATATAGAATGTATAAATACGTGTACTATTTTGTATGTATATTTGTCTCACAGAATCTAGATAAAGGTCAAATACCAGCAGGAAGGGCAGGGATGTGATGGGTCTTGAATGCAGAGGGACTCAGAGGGCAGCTCCCAAGCTTCGCGACTTGAGGTCTCACTGCGGCTCTTCTCCGAACATCTAGAGCAAGGGAATCCTCAGCAAACCACACAGAACATTTGAGAAAGGTCTGCCGGGGGCCCCTCCGGCTTCAGCGAGGCCTCTCCTGCAGAACTGTAAATAGGTACCCAGTCAGCAGAAGTGGGACAGCGGCCCAAGGAGGAGGGTTGAGGCGGGGGCAGGCTGGGGAGGCTTGTGCATCTCTCTCTCCCCATGGAAGGCACTCCTCGGAAGATCCTGCGCAGAAGAAGGAGCGAGAGGGGGTGTTAACCTTGACCCTGGGACCCCACCTCACAAGTCATCTCTTCCAGGCTGGGGGCTCTGGAAGGAGACAAAGCGATGGGGCCAGGGCGAGGAGCCCTGCTTGGTGGCCCCCAGGAGCTGTCCTGGAGGCACCCTCAGCGAGCTGGGCGGCCTTCCAGTGTCCCATTGCTCTGTGCCCAATCTTCCCCCGGTCACCCCTGCCCAGAGTGACCTCTCGCCCCTTGGAATTTCTCTTTCTTTTTGGCTCTTGGCCCTCCCAGCAGCAGGTCTGGAAAGCCTAAGGTGACGTCTGGCAAGTTACCCAACCTCAGTGTTCTCACCTGTGGAATGGAGATCATCATCGTAGGTACTTCAAGGGGGTGGTGGGGCGGCTCAGGGGAGATCAGAGCTTGAGCAACGGCGCATGCACTCTAAACTCCAGGATTCAATCCAGTCTGCTGTGTGCCTCGGGCAAGTTACTTGAGCTTTACGGTCTATAAGGTGAGATGAGAAGCGTGGCACCTATGTCCCAGGACTGCTGGGAGAATAAGTGAGCGAACGCACGGAGGGCACTTTGAGTGGTGCCTGGCCCTTACCGCGTGCTAGGTGGGCGCCTGCTGTAGAGAGGGGAGCCCTGTGCTGTGCGCATGGCAGACCCTCAGGAAATGAGCCCTGATGCCCCAACCCCACTCCTTGCTCGGGGTGGCGGGGGGGGGGCTTCTCTCCCGGTTAGCTTGTGCTCCTGGGTGGGAGGGGCATGCGGTGGGAGTTTGACACAACTTTGTTGATTCACCATCCAGAGAGCTGCCAGATGCCCCTCTGTGTTTTTCTTACCTTTTTTTTTTTTTCCCTTTCTGGTGGAAGTGGAGGTTGGGACTGTGTCACAAACTCTGCTGGGAAACCGATGAAAGCTCTGGACCATCTCCCCAGAAAGGTGCTCAGAAGCAAGTAGTCACAATATGTTGCACAGGGTTTTAGAGGATTCCCGGACCCCTTGAGGGCCAGAGTGAGAAGCCCCTCTTTATTTTTTTTTTCAAAAGATTTTATTTATTTGACAGAGTGAGAGAGCACAGCAGGGGGGAGCAGTAGAAGGAGAGGGAGAAGCAGGCTCCCTGCCAAGCAGGGAGCCCGATGCGGGGCTCCATCCCAGGACCCTGGGATCATGACCAGAGCTGAAGGCAGACGCTTAACCAACTGAGCCACCCGGGCGCCCTGAGAAGCCCCTCTTTAGATGAGACGCCCTCCATGTCTTGTCGGTTTTACTCCAACAAAACAAAAGCTGCCCCTCTTCCTTTACTCATCAGTGGGAGGCACCTCGGCTTCCACCCTGGCTCCCATGCCCCCCCAGTCCCTCTCCCCAGGCCCCCTGGCTCACTGAGTGCCTACTCCAAGCCTCGACCCTTGGCTAGGAGTTAAAAACAACACCTGTTCAGCATTTGAGGGCGAAGAAGAAAAAGAAGGAGAAGACTCAACTTTGATAGAGAAACAGAAGGAATCGTCCTCCAAGCCAAACGCCATAATTCACCGCGCTTTTATTCGCTGAGTGGGACTAAATGGTATTTATGACCCAACAGGCCCTGGACTCACCCCGAGTTGAGTGATTCAGGAGTTGCCCAAACTCTGGCAGCAGGGAGGAAAGACACGGGAGTAGGGAGATCAGACAACTTGCAGGGGAGATTATATTGTTCACGATTGGTGTGATTTTTTTTTTTTTTTTATCTACTTACAGTAAGTGTAGTTTCGGAATTTTCGTACAAGTTTCTGGGAAGATGATAACCTCAAACAAGATCTGTTAACTTGAGGTCAGTTGTGGGCTTGGAATAGGGCTGTATGCTGTAGGGCCCAATTCATTCATTCATTCAAGATTTATTAGGGGCCTTCCTTACACATGAGAGTTGTTCTAGGTACTGGAGTAATGGCAGTGTACAAGGCAACAGAGGTCCCTGTCCTAATGAAGTTTGCAGCCTTGGCAGGAGAGATAGATAACCAAATAAACGGTAAATATATGTCGGATGGTAATGTGTACTGAGAAGAAAAACACGGCCCCCAGTGGCTAGACAGGGTCGCGGGACACTATTATAGCTGGTGCTCAGGAAAGGCTTCTTTGAGCTGAGGCCTAAAGGAAAAGGCTTGGAGCCATGCAGAGGTCTGGGGAGGTCCCAGGGAGGAAGGAAGGCCATCCACCAGGTGGCCAGTCCTGGTTGGGTTGGGACAGCCAAGCACGACTGAGGTCCCAAGGGCCAGTTCCTCCAGCAGGGGGTTTCTGGATGGTCAGGCTGTTGTATGCCCCCCACCCTCTGCTGGAACCTTTCCTGGGGCACACAGGTCCTTCCTGGCTTTGTGCTTGGGCCTCTCTGCCATGCTGAGAGCATGTTTCTTCCAGAGCCTTACCTCCCTATTGTACCTACACTTTGCAGAGCCCAAAGACTTCTGCCGAAAGCTGGATGGAGTCGGTGATATTTCAAGATGTTAACCTTAAGAAAGGCCATACTGTTGGCTATAGACTGAATGTTTGCGGTTTGCGTCCTCTCAAAATCCCTTTGTTGAACTTCTAAGCCCCAGTGTGATGGTATTCGGAGGTGGGACCTTTGGGAGGTGATTAGGCCTTTGGGATGGGATTAGTGCCCCTCTAAGACTCCCCAGAGAGCTCCCTCACCCTTTCTGCTATGTGAGGATGAGGTAAAAGACAGCCGTCTATGAACCAGGATGCAGGCTTTCGCCAGAACCTAGCCAAGCTGGTGTCTCGATCTTGGACCTCCCAGCCTCCAGAACTGTGAGAAATAAATTCCCGATGTCACAAACACCCCCGTCTATGGTATTTCTGTTTAAGCAGCCTGAAGGGACTCAGACGCTGATAGAGGATATATGGGGGACAGAGAAACCAGCAAGCTACATGACACTAGGAAGAAACAGGTGCATCCAGAATGTGGGACATTCTGCAACACAACTGGCCTGGGCTCTTAAAAAAAAAAAAAGGTAAAAAAAATAAGAGGATGGGAGAACTGTTCTAGATTAAAAGGAACATATAGTCAAATGGGATGCATCCTCCTTGAGCAGACCCTGGTTTGAACGGGCAAGCTCTGACAGACGTTTTAGGGATGCTTTGGGGACTTGAAATAGACTGGTTTTCAAATGGTATTTGGATATTATTGTTCGTTTTTGTAGGTGTGATAATAGTATTGCAGTTAGATGAGAATATCTCTGTATTTTGATATGATGGTGTGTGGGAGAGGGACATGGGTTGATAGCCACAATTTATTCTGAAATTGTTCAGCAAAGTAAGTAAATAAAATCTAAGCTATCTAAGGTCTAGGATGGCTCAAGGAGGGAGAATGCAATGTCCCACAGGCCCTGGCTCACCTTCCTGGAGTTGGCTGGGCCCTCCATGCTTGACAGACCCTGACCTGTGCACTTCCCGTGTGTCCGGGAAGGGACTGGGCACCAGCACCTGGCGTTCACTTGCTTAATCGAAGATGAGTGAGTGCGTGGATAGCCTCTGTGGGACTGAACGCCGCCCCCCCTTCACATTTACCTCCCACCTACCCTTGAAGCCCACCATAGGACAAGGAAAAACATGGGCAGACTTCCACTTGTCACTTTTTATGGAAACGCCCTATGAGTTCTCTCCGGATGATTCCAGGCCCTGCTGCCCTCTGCCCTCCCCTGGAGCCCCTCTGGCATCTCCCGGAGCCCAGTTATTTCTGGAGCCTCCCTGTTCAGGTGGAGAGAACGTTGCTCAGAATCACCGGGATGTACAGCTGGCCTGCTGGTCTCTCATTATTTCTTTGAATCAGGGGCTGCATCCTAACAGCCTGGGTCCCAAGTCAGGCAGGGCACACTGCAGGCGCCCAAGAGAACTTGGCGTCCTCAATAATAATACTAATGATACCTAACATTTATTGAGCACTTAGTATTTCCAAGGGTCATGCTAAGTGTTTAACATTAACATTAACAGAATTAATGTCTTTAATTCTCCTAAGAAGCCTGGGTTGGTATTTTTTACTCTAATTCCCATCCGCAGTTTACACACAGTTCATGGTGTCACAATTAGGAAGTGCCAGTGCGGGATTCAGACTCTCAAACTCTGGTTGCCTGCTTGCTGCTTGTCTCCCGGGAGGAATGTGCGGGCCGCCTCTTTGGTGGCCCTGGAAGCCCGAGGAGTCCCGTGCCGTGGGGCTGGTGACCGTGTGGAGACAGCCAGTGAGGAAGGGCGCCAGCCCCCAGGGCCCCGGGGCTGCAACTCGCAAGCTCCGTGCTGCACCGATGAGCTGGAATGGTATATAGCTCGTGCCCCTTCTTCCAAGCCCTGCGGTAGCTGCCACAAGGCGAGGTCCATCGGGCAGATGGACAAGTGTCACCTTCTCTGGAAGTGTCTGGGGGGTACCCTCTCCATGGAGGTCGGCCGCTGCAGATACGAACCTGTGGTGGCAGGTGCTCCCCTTCCGCTGGGAAAACAGCCATGTTTCAAGCAGCCTGGGCTTTCTTATCCGTCACGAGGGCAAGGCATTCCTGCCGGGTCCCCAGGAGCACCGGAGCGGGGACTGAGCACTGTGTTTCATCCTTGCTCCTCTCCCGGGGCCGGCTGGTCGGCTGAGGCCAATATCAGATAAATACCAGTTGTCACCGGTGGGCTCTGCCCTGATTTTCTACCCTTGAATGCGTCCTTTCAATAGGTGTTTGGTGACACAGGCCCATGAGGTCCTGCCTGCCTCACAGATGTTAGGTTCCAGCCACAAAACCAGAATAAAAAAAAAAAAAAAATCTGGGGTGGGAAAGAAGAGTCCAGATTTCACTGAAAATGAAGCTCTCCAGAGCTGCTGACTAAGGAGTTTTCTTTCCAAACATCTGAAACAGCAAACAGATTGTAAATTAAGAGGGAGTTACAAGATAGTAGCTGCAGGCAAACAAGGCCTCCCTGTTCTCTGGGTCGGAGCTGGGGCTGCACTGCGGGGCCGAGCACCCAGGGACAGGGATCGAAGCGCAGGGGGGCCCGCCACTGGTCGGAGGGGGCTGCAGAGGGCGTTCTGGCCTCTTCTCGGACCCGGGGAGAGCAGTTTCCTCTGACAAGAGGCGGAACGCTGGTCTGGGTCATTCTCTGGAGCCGATCAATTAGTGACTCCCACCCAGATCAAAGTTCAGGCTCCCAAGGCAACTCAGCAAAAATAAAGTGAAACAAATTGTAACCCCATCAAACAGATGCTTCCCATGAACAGGGCTTGAAGGGGGAGTTGGACGGTCCTTGGGCCACACTTCTCTCCTCCTGCAGAATGAAAATACTAATTTCAGTAAAACGTCTGCTTTCCCTGGAGGCTCGAGTTTCTAACGGAAGGCGGACCCCTGGGGTAGCCTGCTCTGGCGGAAATCCTGCTGGATTTGGGGTCCTGGGGCCATGATGGGAGCCTGGGCCCAGAACCACACGGTCAGAAGCAAGGCCCGCGCCGCCCACCAGGCCCACATGGCTGCCAGCTCTGGAACGGAAGTTCTGCTTTGGATGACAGGATGGAAGAAAAGGGGTGGGGTAAGTGGGGAAAATGGGTGGCCCTCCCGGCAGGTTTCATCATGGAGGATGCCTGAAGGCATCCTCGTTGTATCCCTCGGGGGTAAAGACTATCACTGTGACATCTGCTTTCAGGGCTATCCAGCCTTGTCTGAGAACCCAGCACCCAGTGGTGTGGTCATGTGAGCCCCTCTGAGCCACGTCAGACCTTGCTCAGAGACTGAGAGGCATCTTTACTGATTTCCCATGTCCCAGATAACCATCTGCTCAGGGCACCCTCTGGGAAGTGGTCAGGATGATTCTAGGTTTGGGAGTCTCCTAGAGAGCTGGGTACTTTTCAGCCAGGGGCCACCGGTGGTGTAGGGCCACAGAGTCGTGCTCCAGAAGTGGCCCGGATCCCCATATGTCCAGCCCTTACTTGCTGCTCGCCCAAGGCAGGGATGGAGGCAAAACCAAACCCAAACAAATAGCTTTTGGCAAAATGGAAGCCCCAGGGGGTTGGGGTAGTGTTTGGGGGTTGCTTCAGAGATTGAAGGATTGAGTCAGTGATCAATAGAATAGGGTGTGTTTTGGAAAAAATTCAGAGGGGCTTGAGGTGGGGTTTACAATATTTGCAGGCAAAGGCAAAACACAGCTTCTGGAAGGATCCTCCTCCATTTCACTGAGAGGCTTATGCATAAACTGGTTTAGGAAGCAAACCAGGTGAGAGTTTGCCTACGTGTCAGGCACTCTGCCAGGGGCCAGCGGGACAAATCTGGGCCAGACACTGACCCTGCCCTCAAGGACCTCATAGCCTGGAGGAGAAAGAAGAGCACATCAGTCATCATAAAGCAAGGTGACGGGTGCCCTAACGGCCCTCATCATGCCAAGAGGCTGATACCCTGCGGGGAAGCGTTCAGCCTTTGGGATCAGACAGACTTGGGTTCTAGACTTCCTCTTCCTGGCTGGCTGACCTTGGGGACATGACATCATGTTCCAAGTCTTGGTTTCCTCACCAGTACACTGGAGCCAGAAATAGGTCAGGTACTTCTTAGGGTTCCTGGGAGGATTCGGGGAGAGAATGTGTGCGAAGCCCCCGTGTCTGGCGCTCAGGACTGCTTGGAATCAACGTATACTAGGTTTAGTAGGAGTGTTACACCATCGGAGGGGCTTGCTGAGCACTCTGGGAGGCTGGAGAGTGGCTGCATGGGGTGAGTGGGGCCTGGGGTAGGGCCCGGGGTGAGGGGCGTCCAGAAAGGCTCCCAGAGGGAGGGGTGCTGGCCGGCTGGTGAGGAGACACATTCCTGGCAGAGGCGCCAGCCCGGATCGGTCCCCAGGAGCCCAGGGGCAGAGAGGAGGTTCTCAGATGCTGTGCCGAACTCACACATATTACGTGAAGTGATGGGAAATGCTCTTTTCTGTGACAGCCCAGTCCCAAGGGATCAGCTGAAACAACAGATAACCGACATGGAAGGCTCTGGAGGTCAGGCTGACTTACCGTCAGGAGCACAACCGCAGGAGGCTGTGGGGACCCTGGGGTCCGCTCGGTAGGGGTCCTACCGGCCAGTGCTGGCCATCCAAGCAAGCGAGATTCGGAGCTTGCTCGAGGTCCCCGCGAATGTTCACGGGCTGGCCCAGCCACCCCTTCAGAGGGGAGACGCAGGAGAGTCAGGAAAACTGTGGTCGGGTCCTGCCTCTCTGGTTATAGATGCACAATGCTGTGCAGGTCGGTTTCCTGTGTAGGCTTCCCACTGCTCCAGCTTGCAGAAGGGAATCATCCTTGGCTTTTTCAGATTTGTGATCTGCAACACCCCTGTCCCCCAACATAGAGGCCCACGGAGTTAGTAGCGGCCATCCCCATCATTGCGGGGCCAGCGCTGCAGGGCTCCTAGCGGTGGTTTGTGGGTGCCCGACTGGCTCATCTTCCGGCTCTAGAATTCTATGATTCTCTAAGGTTTCTTCCTACCTTAGTTTTCAGTTCTGTAGACTCTGAAGTACCGGAGCCTTAGAAACGGGGTTTATTCAACATCTTCCAGCTGATTAGTGGAGAACTGTATTTAGAAGACACAACTCCCAGCCTAATCCGGTGTCCTTTCTACCTCCCCAGGCTGCTGCCTACCACCATCCACGATTTGTCTTAGCACGGGTTCCTCCCTGGGCCCAGGAAACCTGTGTGGCCCTCTATAGATTCCTTCCCCTCTTCTAAGAAAACACCAGGAAGTCAACAGATCCAGCCCCGAGACAACAATCCTGGAATTCATTTCTCTAGGTATGACTTGAGCTCAATGAAATACTGTGTGTATGCAATGTGAA